CACTGACAGACTTAATTAATGATCCTTCTGAATATCTCCATTGTATACCTAAAGCTCCGGAGTGATGTCAGTTTTTGGATTTCTGGTGAGAGGCTCTTCCTAGAATTACCACTGTTTAGTAAACTGATTAAATTCTGGGCATTTACAAATGCTTAATTCTACATTTAAACTTTCTTTCCTTGTAAGTCTCTTGTAAATCCATTTAATAGTTTTCCCTGCTTTGTTATTTAATGACTATTTTTAATGTAATGTGTTATGCACTTTATCCCTGGATTTATGTATGTTGAGAGAGACACGTGTCATGAGGAAGTTAGAGCACTACCAGCTTCCCATTCAGTATCTTGGTGGGAAAACAAAGGAGGGTTGCGTGTTGTGCAGGACAGTTAAAGCCTCTGCCTGGATGGTGGGTCTGTCAAACTCTTCTCTCTATCGAAAGTCTCTATTTCTAAGGTTGAAATTTGGCAGGTACTTTTGTGTCATATCATGAGATGGACAGAAGATGGAGAGTCACAGAGAGTTGAAATGTGACATTTACTCAGGAAGATCTGGCTTGAAATGTATTGCCTCGCTTTTTGGTTTTGCGACACTCACTGTTACCCAGCCTTGGTTCTTCATGCTAAAAAAAAAAAAATATGGAAACAACCATCTTAGTTTTAAAAATTATCAGTGACACATATTCCTTCAAGGACACTTGCCCCCATCTCCCCCACCATCCCTCCCCATGTATGCCATTTTCTCCATGTAAAATAGTCTACTTCATGCCTTTGTTTAGGAACACGGTGGTTTTAACATCACCTACCATGTGCAAAATAAAATAAAATGGGAGGGAAGGGGGATAGAAGTCTCTTCCTGATCCCCTCTTCCCACCATGTGGAAGGATTGGAAGGCAAAAAAGGGGCACTGCCAAATGGGGTCACCCACCCTGCCAGTTAGGATTACCCCAGCAAAGTGCCGCTGGCGGCAAACAAACAAGGGGCCTTTGTGTCTCCCAGCAGCCTAGCAGGGGGTTGGGAGTGGGGGCTTTGCCTTGAAAGGGGGAACAAAGGCAGCCAGGAGATTCCACTGGAGGCTCTCCGGCTGGGCGAGCTCAAGGAGACATTCAGAAAACCCGTACCCGTGACTGCTGAGGGAAAATCCACACAGGGCGAGCAGGATCTGACCCAGAATGTGACACTCTAGTTCTGGACTGCCTTTTCAGGTGTGGAAAACGAATCCAAAGAGGAAAAAGTGTTCCCTACTCCCAGGGGATCTCAAGGCAGCCAACCTAAAATCACCCAAACGTTCCTCCTGGGCAGTCAGACAGAGATTCAGAGGTTTAAAACAGGCAATGTTTCGACAGGGGCACCAAGAAAGAAAAGAGAAAAGAAGATGCTGCTGCTGGTTATATTTCATTCAAGAAAAGCTTCAAAATTGGGCACTACCACAGAGAAGGCCCCTCCCACTGTTTTCTTTTTGTCAGAACATAATATATTTATTTCAGTCCCAACACTGGAAGAAAGGCCTCTTTGAAGATCTTTACACATGGATAAGAAGAGGGGGGGAAAAATAGGCTGCTTTGAATTCAAAGCCATTTGGGAATCAGATGCTGGGATGAAGGTGAAGAGCTCCCAATAGGAGGCCACTTGATACTCATCAAGCTGTTTCCTGCCTATTAACCATCCATGACTGATGATGAATGTCTCTCCCCACCTCAAGCCGCATCTAGGTGGCTTCTCTTAGATCCTAGCTTGACAGAACACCTCCTAAGCTGCCCGGATTGTAGTTACCCTTTCTTTCCACAAGAGAGATTTATCCTATTGGAAGAGGTTCATTAGCAGGGCTATTGTTTTTTCCTGGCTCTCCGAAGCACTGCTGGGTAAAATCTCTGCCTGATTTTAACCAGCTACCTCTTGATCTAGTGAGGCCGGTTTACTCTAGCACTGCCATGCTATAACATGAGCTGGATGGCATAGCAACTCAGTTTTGAGACTTGGCCCCACTGTGTGATTTTTGCCTAGCTTGAGATCAGAGTTTGCTGGAGGATAGGCTAGAAGGAGCAGAGCAAAATATCCAGGCATTAGATGCTTGCAGATGTGGCACAGAGTTCCTTCCTTCCTGCTCCTGCTCTCACCTCCCCTGCCTCTCCTCCCTCCCACCCACGGCAGTGCTGGGGAGTCCACGGTGTGTTGGTGGGGAACCTCATACTGAAAGCAGGGCAGAAGTCCTGAGTCACAAACCACTAGCAACCCAGCACCCTGCAAACATGTTGAACTAGTACTCCCAGTTTTTCTAAACGTGACTTTATGTGTGCAAAAGAAAGCAATTAGGAGCAATCAGGAGTTGATCTATGAATAACGGGCGAAGGGTGTATGAATGGGATTGGCAGTGGACAGGCAAATAAGTCGGGTTAAAGGATTGTGGCTTTCAGATTAACTGTTGTCCTCCTACCCTCCAGTGGATGCCCTCACAGAGAGAGTGACTTGGCACATAGTGCTTCAGACGATTTGCATCTACGCATTCCTCAAGTTCCTTCAGGGAGGAGGAGCTGGTAAGTTACTGTGTGAAAGTTATAAGATACATATGATGGGCTGAGAAAGTTGCTATGGGGATGCCTGTCTTCCATCTTAACATCCGTATGAGATTTCATTGGTAACCTTTGTGCCCTTCAAGAAACATACCAGCTCAGCTTTACGGCCTAACTAAACTTTTTGAAATGGAAGTGGTTGAAGCTGAGGCAAACAGCTTTGGAACAAAAACATTTCTTCTGCTTCTCTTTCTTACGTAATATATGGCAGACTGCAGTCAACAGGCGTGTGCCTCCTGACCATATTTAAACTTGCACAGTTGAAAGCTTTTAAACACGCGCTCAGCCCCTGTGTAGCTCAAAGAATTTGTGGGGAAATATAAATTGATCACACTGGCTGGAGAACTATGGCTGATGCAAGACTTGGCCAAATGGGTTGGGGATTCTGAGCAACTGAAATCTACCATTTCTGACAGGCACCAGATTAGGGAAGAATTCTTCTTGTTCAGAGTATTGGGAGTGCAGTCAGGTTTTCATCTGAAACAAAAGCACATGCACTGAAAAAACAAATACACGTGCTTGCTGTAGGGACAACTGGCTTCATTAGCAACGTGCGCACTTTTCTGTGGATCCGCGTGCAACAGTTCACCAGCCGCGAAGTCCAGGTAGAGCTCCTCCGGCATCTCCATAACCTGTCTCTTCGCTGGCACCTGGAGCGCAAGACAGGGGAGGTGTTACGCAGTGTTGACCGAGGCACTAGCAGCATCAACAACTTACTCAGGTATGTGGGATATGTCTGACTGGTGGGAATCCATCAGTGTTCAATGGCTGGCAGGGATTCCTGCAGTCAGCTCTTCTCCTTCTGACCCCAGTGGGGGGAGAGGAGTTTTGGAAGGGGCGTTGTACACTGTGTGATCTTAGTTTCCCACCCTCTCATCCTACAGTTACATCATATTCAGCATCTTCCCCACCGTGGCTGATATTGTAATTGCTATTGCGTATTTCGCCGTAACCTTCAGCGGCTGGTTCGGCCTCATCATCTTCCTCTGCATGAGCCTTTACCTCAGTGAGTGTTTTGATGCCAGGGGCAGCAGTGGGGGGGGGGCAGAGAAAGGTTTCCATTGTCTTCAGAATTAAGCCTATGGTACTGACCTAAGGGAACTGGGAATTATAATTTAATAAAAGCCTTCCCCCACTTAATGCTTTTTTTTTCTGATTAATGAAATTACAACCCAGAATTTCCAGCCATGAAGGCCAACTGTCAGAATAGCTGGGTCCTCTGGAGTTACGGTGTCAAGATATTTGGAGGAGAGGCTGTTTTAGAAATAGAGCAGATGACTCAGTCCTGATCCAGTTCCCAACCTAGATAATTAAAAGGGATTTTAACACTTTGCTCCTGCTGGGACACTGATCCAAATTGCTCTTTGAATAGGCATTACATTGCTGAACAAGCAGGATCTCTTTTTAGCAAGATAAGTGACACCCAGGATGAAATACTTTGACCTTCAGCTGCCCTGTATCTCTTCTACTCCTCTCAGATCTCATAAACAAAAGAAGTGAAGCTATACAGGTAGCATGACAGACATTCAGGCATCCTTTTTTGCTGTGATCTGACATAAAGTATCTTATGCAAATCTCAGACAATAAGCTAACTTTGCATTGAAATAGATTCAAGCTCTGGCCTATTGGAGACTAATTTAACACAGTAGGACTTAAAATAGGTATGTCTAATTGGTCTTGTTGATTCTGATGCGATTAAAATAGGGGTAAGTAATCCATGAGCAGCATGTGGCCCATAAAGCCCCAAAAGTCCCCAAGTAAAATGCTGAAAAATGAAGGGAAAACCAAATGAAATATAAGCCATAAGGTAACTAAAGTTGCCACAAAACTTAATCTCCATGAAATGCTCTTACGTCCTTGAATAATGTCATAATGTTGTTGGTCTGCCTGCTATGGATTTCAGTATTTCTCTCCCCTCAACCCCAAGGAATTTTCAAAACTTAGTCTTTCAGCCACCAACATTTTGCTCTCTTGGAGAAACATGAGAAATTTTATTTTGGTCTAACCTTTAAATTAATTGTGTCACTGCAAATTATATGTATTAAGCATATTTGGTAGGCTTGCATGAAATCCTGCAAGAAGGCCCTGTTTAGCTACTCATTCCTAAATGGGAAATGGAAACAAAACAGGGGAAATGAACAAAATGGGGAGGGGAAAGGTTTTGTTCTTATCTTAAAATAAAAGTGTCCCATTCAGAATGCTTGTTTACAGTGCTTTAATGGATTTTCTTCATATAGGACAAAAGTCAAAAACCTTATGACTGTGCAAACATAGGAAACAATGAGAAATGCGAATGAAAGGTGCCCATGACTTTCTGTATTTCATCCAACAGCCACAAAAAAAGGTGTAGGAGTAGTTCATTGCTACTTGACCAGCAAATCTAAAAAAACTTGGCTCAAATTAAATCCCCATTTCACACAATGATATCCTTAGTGTGCCTTGCACAAACAACATGAGTGCAGCAACAAGTAGTGACTACAATGCGTTGGCTTCTGAATAGATCATAAAAGTAGAGCAACATCAAAAACAGACTTTTGGCCGGCAGTTTATGTCTGTTGCATATGCATGGAATACTTTTGCAATTGGCCATCTGCAACCCAAGTAACATAATTTTTGGAAATCTGCCCAAAAAGGAAAAAAAAATCAGGGACAATATCATAACATTGACATTGACTTTCCCAGAGCAAATACATTTTTAAAAATAAACAAGGAGCAATCTTTTTCTTGTCTAAAATCTTTTTTTTTAGAAAACAAAAGGCAATCTTTTTCTTATCTTGTTACTTGCCCTCAGCCCCACCTTTTTTGCTGAACTATAAAACATTCCTGTTTTATTAATTAATATATTATTAATTAATATATTCTAAGTCTCCATAGTTATAGGGTTTTCTTTATTTAAAAAAATGTGGGATAGTTGAACACTCAGACAAAGGGAGACAAAATGTCTCATTTTCTCTTGAACTCAAGACAGAATTTGGGACGAAGGGATACCCATTTCAAGATCAGAACAATTTGTACATCCCTACATCGGAGATACCACTGCTTACTTGTTGTTCAGCTATCTTTATCAGGGTGAAAGAAATAATTTTAATTTTAAAAAAACGCTTTTTCTTTTTGCCACTTTTTGAATAGTCTTGGTTATGAGTTGAAATGGAAAGAATCAAAGATATCTCTGATAAGCCTGTGTGAATTTGCTATAGTGATAGTTGGCCTCTCTTTTTCCATGTAGCACTGACTATAATACTGACTGAGTGGCGAACAAAGTACCGCCGTGATATGAATCTTCGTGACAATGATGCCAAGTCTCGAGCTGTTGACTCACTTCTCAACTTTGAAACGGTACCCAGGGCCCCCACTTAACCATCACTGGTGGGTGGGAATAGGGAGTACAAGGAGTTAGCAGCAAACCATTCTGGCTGACTTTTCCCCCTGCGTTGCTTGAAATCGCTTCAGTTTCAGATTTTTGCTTAGAGGAGGAAGAGCTTTCCACTTTGATCTAACGCTCACCACCACCACCCCACCTGGGTTCAGTGAATATGTCTTGTTCGTCAAGAGTTAACCTAGAATGAAAGTTAGGTGACTTAGAGTAGGGAACGTCATTTTTGTACTGACCGGTCCCTGGTTTGGTTTGTTGCAGGTGAAGTATTACAATGCAGAGGACTATGAGGCTAGACGCTTCAATGATGCCATTATGAAGTATCAGGTATAGAAGGATCTTTATGCAGTGTTTGGACTTGTTTCTTTCATGTCTGTTATAAGGCATTATTGGGGTGTTTTTTTTGTTAGTCTGCTTCCCTTCAGTACCAGCAGAGATGGAGGGAGAGAGGTATATCTATCTATCTATCTATCTATCTATCTATCTATCTATCTATCTATCTATCTATCTATCTATCTATCNATCCATCCATCCATCCATCCATCCATCCATCCATCCATCCATCCATCCATCCATCCATCCATCTATCCATCCATCCATCCATCCATCCATCTCCATACTCCTATGTTTGTGTCCATACATGCAGTAATTTGGGAGGGGAAAAAATAGTTCCATTTTCTTGGGGAAAGATGTGGGAAGCATTGCACAGAAGCATCTAGAAAAGGAATCAGTAAGAACATCATAGCAAGGGAAATTAAGACACAGCAAACCGGAGAGGTTTCCTGGGATTTTGTAACACTGACATGTTTGTTAAAGATTATTCCCTCCATCTGCTAGTAAATAGTAGGTAGTCCTCGACTTAACGATCACAATTGAGTCCCAAATTTCAGTTCTTAAAAGTGAACGTTGCCTCATTTTATGACTTTCCTTGCCACGGTTGTTAAATGAATCCCTGCAGTTACGTTAGTGAGTTGTTAAGCGAGTCTGGTTTTCCCATTGACTTTGTTTGTCAGAGGTCTCAAAAGGTGATCACATGACCGCAGGACATTGCAACCGTCATAAATATGAACCAGTTGCCGAGCATCCGAATCTTGATCACATGACTACAGGGATGCTTCAATGGTTGTAAGGGTGAAAAACCGTCATCAGCCACTTTTTTTCAGTGCCGTTGTAACTTCGAACGGTCACTAAACAAATGGTAGTAAGTCGAGGACTACCTTTAGCTGCTCAGATGCTGCCCAAACTGTGCAGACATAGTCAAACAAAGCCATGGCAGGATTTTCTGTTGTGGAGAGCCTCAGAAAGGCCCATTATAAGTTTAATTAGTTCTGTCCTATAAATAGGAGAATCAGTATATCCAGAGGAGAGAAATATTCTAGAAAAGCATTGGTTGGCTGATCTAAATTGTCTTGTAGTAGGATGAAGAAAACATTCCGGGATGCCTCATTGGTCTGTTATGTGGAGGCTAGAAAGTACAAATTCTGTTGAACAATTTCTGTGGGTTGTAGAGTTTTTCAGGATTGCATCGTGCAGCTCTTGATTTTTATTTTTATTTTTCCCTTCTCTTTTGGTAGGTTGCAGAATGGAAAGTGAATGCATCTCTGGGCCTGTTAAATCAGACACAGAATCTGGTGATTGGTGTGGGGCTGCTGGCTGGATCCCTCCTATGTGCTTCTTATGTGACTAAGAAAAAGCTCGATGTAAGTTCTCGCTGACCGCATGCTGTATGTGGTTTGGGTTTCTCTCTGTATGGAGAATCTGAAACAAGAGCCAGTCTACAACTCATCCTTACTGTTGAGGCCCTTCCAGATGAAGCATCAGGCTTTGTGAACGATTTGCCATGAGTTAAAAAGTTTTTTTAGATCATTTCAATGCACCTTTACAAAACTTAGTAATGTTTTAGGAATTT